TTCTGTACGGAGGTTCTTCGAAATTAAAGTATCTATAAAAAAACCTCTTGGTGCTTACGTCTCTCTGCCTGCGTGCATGCGCGTCTGTTTGTGCGTGTGTTTCTGTACTTCTAAGTTTGGAAATTAAGAGGAGACATACTGTGTATTTCTTCACATATCTCTTTCTTAGAGTCGGTTTAAAGACGCAGCGAGAATCCTAGATCATTGAACGCACCACGCGGATCTCTCTCTCTCTCTCTCTCTCTCTCTTTTACTTATCGTCTTACTACTATTTTACAAGACGAAGCAATATGTTATTTAGGCGGGAATACTGAAAAAAATAGCTGATAATTTAATTAATCAGAAACCTTACCAAACTACGAAAATAAAATAAAATGCATGTGGATAATTAATATTTGATTAAGATGATACTAAATTTTGATCATATTTCAGACTTTATTTTCACCAACATCACATTATCTACAAATAGAAACAATACAAACTTAATAACATCTAGTCATATATACTTATAACCAATATACTTACATATCCCCATATCAGGCATATCTGTTTATGATTATTCTGAGTATATCTGTATATCCCATGCTGTATGTATGTATATATATATATATATATATATATATATATATATAGCATGGGATATACAGATATATATATATATATATATATATATATATATATATATATATATATATATATAAAGAGAGAGAGAGAGAGAGAGATGCATACATAGGTATATATATATATATATATATATATATATATCCATCTCTCTATATATATATATATATATACATACAATAATAGTATATATATATATATATATATATATATATATATATATATATATATATATATAGCATAATGAGAAGCCACGTATACTTTCTTAATACGTATATATGAAAAGGTTCAAATTAAAAATAATAATGTTTTATTTTATGAAAGTATTTATTTATTTATATAAATATATATATATAAATATAGATACACCTAGTGAGCCAGACAAACCTACCTAGGTTTCACCTAAACGGATCGTCAGGGAAAGTTTGGCTTCTCTACGGTTGTATATATATATATATATATATATATATAACTATGCCAGATATACTCGTATATTCTTATTTCTTATGCAGTGTATACCTGTATATCTTCCAGCCGTGTATACTTTCATATACTTCATGTGTATTCCGATATGTGAACAAACTGTAAGGAAATCCTTGTTATTTCCCATTTTATAAAGTTCGGATCGATTGGCAATTTTGCCAACCATTCTATAAACAATCTAACAGGTTTCAAGTTTTTGTCTGTTCACAACAACGAATAAATTTACTTCCAGGCTTTATTAAAATTTTAATTATCGCTTTTTAAAACAATGAATATTGCCGAGGGGGTGAAGTTAGTTAAAATAATAGCGGTGCCAATGGGAAAACCTCCCTTTTGGCTCTCCGTTTTTGGGGAGGATTTTTTTGCGGGCAGATTTTCCTATTATTATTTTATAATATATATATATATATATATATATATAACCGATATACTTACATATCACCATATCAGGCATATCTGTTTATGATTATTCATCTTATTTTATCTTTTTATCACAGATTTTCATTATTACTAATTTTATTTCTGGTTAGAAGAAAAGTTCCCGGGTTTTCTAAATAAATTTAATATTCTTCTAAACTCGAGAACGTTCCTTCTAACTATTTTTGCTTCTTATCCAAAACCTTCTTAGTTTGGCACACTAAAAAGAAATAAAACAAATAACTTCCGAAAATACTTGGTCTCGCATTGTACATGTTTTATATATTTTATAGAAACTGACAAGAACAAATCCTGACATGGAAATTTTGGTTACTTCATATTTTGCTCTTCTTCAGTACAACATAATGTAATAATCCGTTGGAAACATTTTGTCATGTGCACATACGGCTTAAAATTCACTTTCACTTTCTACGTTCAATGGTCTCCAAACTTTTTATACCACGGACCGGGTTCATACCGGATAATTTTCCCGCGGACCGGTAGTGACAATATGCGAAATTTCATTTTGATAAAGAGAGGAATAATAAAAAGAACAATTTATTAAAGAGAAGAATATCGGTCCAACCCGACCACACTCGTGCGTGCTTAGTTTCCGTGAATCAATCCCTATTATATCATTATCACATCAATATCAACTCACCATAATGGAGAATCAATATAGAATCTGATAATTAGTTGGGGTTAGAAAATTAGTTGAAAATTATTACAAATAAATAAAAATATACATTAATTGTTAAATGTACTTACAGTTATGATAGATAGTATTGAGTAGATGAATAATGAATATTTAAGCATGTTTTTAAAATTAAAGTCCAATATTTAATTTATCTATTATATAATTTTAAATAAGTTAATTATTTCTTTGCGGCCCTGTAGCAAATGATCAGCGGGTCTTTTTTATAATTGTGTACATGCTCAATTTAAGAAATAGAAGAATATTATTCAATAAAATCGCTCGCAGCCTCGATGTGGCTTCAATGCAGCCTCGGTAGTGGCTGCACCCACGGATAAACTGTTCCTTATTCCTGTTGGCCATCCTATTCACGTGGTTTGCTGTTAACGACTCCTTGATATTCGCTAGCTGGCTTTGATGACGTCCCAGTCGTAGTAGCCCAATCGGTTAAAAATTAGGAGAACTACGGGGTCATATGATATGATGAGATAACCGTAGAAATTCTCGGTTTCCCACTATTGGGTCAAAGGTGCTATGTGGACGGTCGTTGAGTGCTGATGAAACGTAAGGTTACGCCTCCTCGATTGAGAGCTTGACCGCTGGACGTAGGAGATAGCATTGACTCTGAGACCCCTGCAGGAAGAGTAACCAACACATACGATCTGATCATGGTGCGCCTCTCCGCGGAGTCATCGAAAAACCACCTATCCTGTTCACCTGGCCATTCTCAAGATGTTCGCTAGCTACAGGCTCCCTTTTCATTTTCAGTTTCAGGCTGGAAGCTACAATCATAATGTTCGCAATACGTCTGAAAGAAATCCTAATGTTAACATTAAACACATTACACGACTTCTGTTTATCATCATCAACATCATTATCAATTTCATGATCGGGTCCGGTCGTAGGGCCACTGCGTATCTGAGCGCCTAACCCAACCCCCTCCATATATCACGGTTGCTTACCAACCTCAGGGTCTTTGTGAATGATCTTCCAGTTCAATCAGTGACGTCGTCAGCCCACTTTTTTCCCTACTGTTTGCCTTGTATTCTTTTGCCTAAGGTAGGTACCTATCAGCACGGCAGTGGAAATATTGTTGGCTCTTATGATGTGCCATTTTAACCTTCTTTTTTTCTTCGACGTTGACTATGAGGTCTTCCGAGGGGCTTCTTTCTTTTCTAATTATGTCTCGCACTACGCTAATTTTGATGCGCACACGGCCGTAAGCATGGAGCACCCCGTGAGACGCGAACTCACTACTCAATCGTAATTGGTCTAGCGAGACAAGCTTGATAACCATTAGACCATTTCGGAAGTGCCCAAGGCGTATAGAAAGACTGAGAAGGTCAATGAACGCAACATTCTGATCTTTGATTCCCGGCAGATGTTCTTGTCTTTCCAGATGGTTTTCAGTTTTATGACAGCTGCTATTGTTTGTGCTGCTCTTGTTTGTGCTACTCTTGAAATTATTTCTGTTCTAGAACCCTCTTCACTGATAATCGAGCATAGATATTTGCATTGCCTGACTACCTTTAAGTTCTTAACAACCTACTTTTATTTTTGTTTAAAGCCCTTTCTGATTGTTCATCATGAGTTTGCTTCTTGAAGAAGTTTCGCTCAAGTTCTTCGCATAACCAAAGAGTTGCCCTTTTTTGATAGCTAGATCATCTTTGTCATCTGCAAAATAAAGGTATGTAATGTTGCGACTTCCAATGTTGACTGTGCCTTTTTTTGCATGAGGTGCTCAAGAAATATTCATAACCTGTTGTATTTGGTTTGGCTAACAAAACTAAAGTCATGTATCACAAAAATGTGTTTTTGAAAGGTTTGTCGTTATTACAAAAAGCTTGGAAAGCTCTGTAATGTGGTAAACTGCAAAGTCTAAAACTTCTTCAATCGACTTCAATCTAAGGAAGCTACTATTACGTAAGTTAATCCTGTAAACTCCCTGTGCGGTACACATTCACCTGTGCTCCTTGTAGCAAGTAGGTTTTTATGGGGTGAATTTAATAGCTCCAGGCCCAACCAATTAGGAATTCAGAGTTGTTTTTCTCCATGGTCACGTTGTCGTCACGTGGGTGACGCTGTGAAAACGTATTCCTAAAATTTGAGTATTTTGAATGAAAAATGAAAAGAATTCTATTTTGATCTAAAATTTATATGTACGTTTGTCGAGCATTAATCTCGCTAGAAAAGGGGAAATACTAAAGAAGCCAGGTCTAGTATTCACCGTGCGTGACCATGTTTTAAACGGAGCGCTGATCTTATAAAACTTTCAGTTATTTGTTTGGATAAGTCTTGTTCTTATGTACATCGTCTTTGTCATGTTGTATTGATAATGTTATAATTTATGAATATGTCCTGAAGATGGTTTATTAGACCGAAACGTCCGACGTTGACATATTAACATTAAAACATCATAATTGTATATAAGGATTTTTGTTTGTTTTTTCCGTATATATTTTTCTTCTTACTGTCGGATCTATATCCATATATTTGCTTATATATATATATATATATATATATATATATATATATATATATATATATATATATAGTTCCCTAAAATAAACATGTATTGTTGTGAAACATGGACAGTCTATCGTCACCATATTAAGCTTCCAATTCCAGAATTAAATATCAGGATAAGGACTCCAATGTCGAGGTCCTAGAACGATGTGGTATACCCAGCATAGAAAGGCAGATAATCAAGGTACAGCTTCTTTGGAGAGGGCATGTATATCGGATAGAAGACTCAAGAATTCCCAAAACAATCTTCTTCAGTGAATTAGAACACAGCAACAGACCACTGGGCAGACCGAAACTGAGGTACAAGGACACTGTTAAATACAATCTCAAGAGATGTGGCATCGGCCTTGATAGCTGGGAAAGTACTACCCAAGCCCGTGCAACGTGGAAGAGAACTTGCAAAGAGGGTATAGATGTCTTTGAGAAATGTGCCAAGAGGAAGACCAACAGTAGCACTCAGAACCCACTATATCAATACAGCATCTGCAATATGGTTTGCGGCTCTAGAATTGGATGCCAATCTCACGAAATAGAAATACGCATGCGTTGGTACACGACGCGAGAATCCATATATATATATATATATATATATATATATATATATATATATATATATATATATATATATATTCTATTCAGCATGGCCCGGCGTTGCCCGTGCTTGATTCAAAAATCGTACGACTCATACAGCAATCGCTATCACTTGACTTAAAATATTTTTGCCCTTCCTTGCCTTTTAAGGAGTTCCTTTTCCGTGCTGATGTTGCTACATGCCTTACTTCTTGCCTATCACACTGCGAATTTTTTCTAAGCTCTATACTAAACATTAAATCTGTTACGAAAAAAAGAACTAAACAAAATGAACACAAAACGATCAGCTTTAAAAAGGACTCGTAACTGGAAAAACTGAATGAAAAAAAGAATGTTAACAACAAATACTTTTTTTCACAACCAACCCAGTTCTGCGGAATCAGAATCAATGTTGAGTTTAAGCAAGCGAATGAGCCAATTGGAGTAAAGTGCCATGCATATTTAATTTTTTCCCACTCGTGACGAATGCAGCTATCGATTATTTTTTGCATGCTAGCATGCTAGTTCACATTCGTGTCAGTCAGCTGTTGGCTCTCACGCGGGCCAATAGAAAATTCCTGCCTATTCGTGGCAGCCAGCTATAGGCTCTCACTCTGGCCAGTATAAAATGGCCGCAAACTACATGAAAACTACCGTAGAAGCATGAAAAAAATCGATTATTTCAACTATCGATGGGAGTTGGGAAATGCAAAGTCGGTCTTGGCCTTTTCCGCTAACTTGGAGCATGTGCATGTAAATTTTGGTGCAAATCCGTCAAAATTTGCGGCTGTGCATTCGTTACACACACACACATCCTGCCTTTATATATATATATATATATATATATATATATATATATATATATATATATATATATATATATATATATCCCTAAAACAAACATCCGCGGAAAATCATTTACATCATTTTCAATTTTTAAAATATAAAACTTCAGAGGTGACAAACGAATGATCTTGACGCGTGTAGCTAAAATTACACCTGGCCGTGGATGTTCTATTCTAATTAGAAAATTACATTAGTGATCAAAATTTTACTAGATATATTTTAATATGGGATACCATTAAAATAAACAACACAAACAAGAATGTAATAATATTCAAACGGAATAAAAAATATAGGAAAGCACTTTTAGACATTTGATTAAAAATTCAAGTAAATATTTTAAGTAGCAGGATCCAAAATAAAGGTTTAATGATGTGATGTGACTTCTTTAACCATGCCAGTCTTATCGATTAAGTTATGAATACAAAGGTTTCAACATGGTGGACATGATAACCTTGGATATGATAAACAAGATTTACCTAGACGTGCAATGGCTCCGAGACAGCATCGAGGTTGTCTTCGAGGCTGAAATATTGTTTATCGGATAACTTTTTTCTGTTATTTTAAGTTGGGCACAATTATTTTGAACTTATACCGAGCTTTAAATTACATTTTTCCTTTTAGTATAATTTGTTCTCAATTATCTGGCGAACTCTGTGTATAATTTTTAAAAGTATATGAAGTAATTAATTAAAAAATGTAATTAATAATTAAAGAAACAACAGATCATTAACGCCACAATAAATTGTCTAGACTCAATATTCGGCTTTAGACAGGAAAGCTACAAAAATGCTAATTTTCCAATAACTTTGTAGAAATATATAAAAGAAATATTAAAATATTTAAAGAAAAATCTTTTTCTTTTCAGATAAGATTTGTGCAAAAGTTTCCAGCACTTTTTTTATAAGTATTTCACTTAATAAAAAGGGATTGAAGAATCTGGCACTCAAAAGGACATATTGAAGGCAAATGATGCTGAGGGAAACGTAGAATAACCAACCTAAGGAGGTTGTGAAAATGAATGACATCACAGGAATAAGAGGAGACAAACATTACTTAGAGCGAGAAAATGGTGGAGAGATATGATCGTCCACGTAGTGTAAAGACATGGCACACGAAAAAAGAAAAAGAAAAATCTGAAGACACTGCAGCCAATGGGAATATTTTAAATAGACTTTTTTTCCGGCCAAGAATCAAGATGTGACCTTTACGCCTGGTGGCCATCATTCATTCCAGAATTCTCTCCATCCAGCTCTTTCTGACGGAAGGGTTTTGATTTCTTTCTAAGATTCTCTTTCTGCTATTTGATCTTCGCACAATTAGCAGATTAAACAAGTACACGATGAGGTTTTTCGAGTAGAATGGTGGAGGGAATTCTTGCCCAGACTCCCAATCGAACGCACAAGCTGGTAAACTGATACATGATCCGACCTATGGGGGAAAAAATCAAAGCTTTAATCAGATGTCAAAATCACATTATACCAGTATATTATTTTTATATATCTCTCTAGATAATCATCCATATCTAGATCAAGTTGTGTCTGTACACGCATGCGCACACACATGCGCACACACACACAAGGTATAGACATGTCAGCCTGTCTTTATGTCGGTTCCGGCATGATTTTTACGTGTACTTATCTATATTTATCAACAGATAGACGTGAATAGATTGATGTTCATATTCACTAAAAGAGATACTTGTATAAACAACTGATATATATATATATATATATATATATATATATATATATATATATATATATATAATATATAAATCTATCTATATCTATATCTAGATTTTTTTCAAAATTAAGAAACCAGCCTAAAGCACTACCTTGGTTTTCAGCCTTTCGCTATCCTCAGGCGATATTTGGCCGATATCGCCTGATGATACCGAGGGGTTGAATGCAAGGTAGCGTGGTTTACACGTTAATTATTTATTTCTTATTTTTTTCTATCTGAATTGAGCACTTTTTAATACAACTATTTCCTAGTCTAATTTAACTCTGACCAATAATTGTTTTATAAGTATTATACCTATCTATCTCTCTCTCTCTCAATATATATATATATATATATATATATATATATATATATATATATATATATAATATCAAGCTCAAAGTTTTCAATAAAAACATTTCTTTTCTTTATTCACTTTGCCTACGTCTTATCGTAACTATCCACCTGTTTTGGTTCTCGTACAATCATCGAAGTATATATATACAGAGAAGGGAGAGAGAGATTAGAAAGTAATATGTACCAACATAGACAAATAGTTGGATAAGAACAAGACAGATAGATAGATAGATAGATAGATAGATAGATAGAATTAGAATAGAATTAGATATATATATATATATATATATATATATATATATATATATATATATATATACAGATAGATAGGGTAGAGAGATGACTACGCTGAATTATATAACGACAACAATAGAAAGTTATGAACAGACGACGTGAAACATTTGTCGAAAAACTGCAAGAAATAAACAAACACACACACACACATTACACATACACGCACATACACGAACGCACAAACAAACAAACGTATGCATAATTCATAGAGTTTGGTATTGTTAAGTAATAATGAATAGGTATATCTGCAAGCCAACATGCAAAAAATATGTATGTCTAGGTATATACCTACATTGTCATATAAAGTTTAATATGTATCTTGTCTCTTTCTAGTCTTCCCTTTATTTGCATATTAACAGTCACAGCGTAATATGAAAGTGTTGGATTTGACATTTATATACGTGACTGCGGCGGGGTGGGGTAGTTGTCGGTTCGACCTACATCGTAAAATCTAAGTAAGCGTTAGATTGTTTCGAATCCCTTGTTGGGCTGGCTGAGAACTTATAAGCGTCCATTTTATTGATTGTTTTATGTGTGTATTTGTACATGTTTCCACGGACGTGCATACATACATACATATCTCATGTTCTGCTTATCTATCTATCTATCTATCACACCTATAAAAATAGACAACTATATATATATATATATATATATATATATATATATATATATATATATATATACATGCACTATAAAGATATATATATATGTGTGTGTGCGTATGCATGTTTAAAAACTGAATGTTTGACGAATAGAAATATCTACAGAGATCGACCTGATAAATATATATATATATATATATATATATATATATATATATATATATATATATGTGTGTGTGTGTGTGTGTGTGTGCATTTGTATGTGTGTGTGTATATATATATATATATATATTTCATATTGTGTGTGTGTCTATAAAATATATATATATATATATATGTGTGTGTATGTTTATTTGTATGTTTGAATGTTTGATGAATAGAAATGATATCTAAAAAGAGAGGTGACATATATATATATACATACATATATATATATATATATTCTATATATATCTATGTGTTTATATATATACGTGTGTGTGCATTTGTATTTGGCACATCACACCTATATAAAATACACTTTCTATAAACACACATATAAAATATATATACATATATATACATATATATATATGTATGTATATGTATGTGTATGCATGCTTAAAAAACGAATGTTTGATGAATAGAAATGATATCTAAAAAGAGAGGTCGACAGATAATATATATATATATATATATATATATATATATATATATATATACTCGTAGCATCCAGAGACGCACATGTAATCTAGCCTATATTCTGTGATGTTCTTTTCTCTTGGGCCGTCCTCTGCCTCAGGCAGTAAGCCACAGCAGAAGGAATAACAGTCCACACTTTTCCCTTCACCGTATGTCTTCAGTTTCTCTACCTTATGACGCTTTTCACTGCAAGTGCGTTTTGATTTACGTTACCTCTAAAAGGGGCCAACTTCGCCGCCGAACTTTTCCTTTTTTTTTTTTCCTTTTTTTTTTTAGTTTCTGTTTGCCTCCTTTTTTTTTTATACAATATGGAGTCAACAGCAAATTTAAGGAAAGAGGGAA